CATATATATATATATATATGCAAAAAAAAAAGAAAAAAATACGAACCAAAAAAACAAATATCGGATCATCCGGGTCCTAATTTGTAATGCTGAACAACTAATATTTATAAATAATATTGATAACCAAAAAAGTCACAATAGCAAAGCCAGTCTTTTGCTTTTGTATTTGTACTTTTTCTTTTTGTTTATATTCAGTAAGATTCTTTCAATTCGTGTGAAACTGTATGTCTTTAAGTTCTTCGTGAATGTAACCATTGTACCGTTCTTCGTGAATGTAACCATAGTACCGTAACTGTATGGCCAAACTTGATTATATATATATATATAATTCTTATATGATTTGCATATTAGGGAATACGTTGATATGATTGGTCAAGAAGACTTCCGGTAGTTGTTCTTGACGTTGTTTATTTTTCGATAGACGACGTTGACCGAACTTCTTTTTGTAACCAATGTAAACAAGATGGCGGTGATAATAACACAATCCGGCTCGACGTAAAAAGAATTATTTTCACTTCGCGTTAATCGTTTTACTAAATGATAAACACAAAACATTCATTTGAATGATAATAAGCGTTTTTGTAGTTTATTTTTTATCAGATAGCAAATTTCATGGTGTACATATGTTTGCTTTAACCAACAAATATATTCATGCGCCAGGCCAATTCAATGACACAAATATACAATTTACATGTGATAGAGGTTACGAGTGCGGAAACATAAAATCCTTGTGTCCAATTTTAAAGAATTATAAGGATTTAACGCATTTTTAAAGGAATTTATTGGTGTATAAACTGGACCAAGTCACTCACAAACATATCATAAAACTCCTTCGGACTTTTATTTGTTTGTGAGTGAATTGGTCGACTTTATACACCAATAAATTCCTTTAAAAAGGCGTTTAATCCTATAATAATTACAATTCAATATAGGATTAAACGCCTTTTTAAAGGAATTTATTGGTGTATAAAGTCGACCAATTCACTCACAAACAAATAGAAGTCCGAAGAACTTTTATGATATGTTTGTGAGTGACTTGGTCCAGTTTATACACCAATAAATTCCTTTAAAAATGCGTTAAATCCTTATAATTCTTTAAAATTGGAGACAAGGATTTTATTTTTCCGCACTCGTAACCTCTATCACATGTAAATTGTATATTTGTGTCATTGAATTGGCCTGGCGCATGAATATATTTGTTAGTTCAAGCAAAAATATGTACTCCAAGAAATTTGCTATCTGATAAAAAATAAACTACAAAAAAGCTTATTATCATTCAAATGAATGTTTTGTGTTTATCATTTAGTAAAACGATTAACGCGAAGTGAAAATAATTCTTTTTAACGTCGAGCCGGATTGTGTTATTATCGCCGACATCTTGTTTACATTGGTTACAAAACGAAGTTCGATCAACCTATCGAAATATAAACAACGTCAAGAACAACTACCGGAAGTCTTCTTGACCAATCATATCAACGTATTACCTAATATGCAAATCATATAAGAATTATTGCAATGCAAATGCTACAAGATACAAGATATTTTATTATGCTAAATCACGGCGTCCATTACGAGCAGAACAATCATTGTAATTACAAAACAAAGTATACAATACAACCTAATATTTGAACTAAATAAAATAGCAAAATAATTGGTTATTAATTATTAGTATTATTGTTATAAAATATAAACAACGTCAAGAACAACTACCGGAAGTCTTCTTGACCAATCATATCAACGTATTATCTAATATGCAAATCATATAAGAATTATTGCAATGCAAATGCTACAAGATACAAGATATTTTATTATGCTAAATCACGGCGTCCATTACGAGCAGAACAATCATTGTAATTACAAAACAAAGTATACAATACAACCTAATATTTGAACTAAATAAAATAGCAAAATAATTGGTTATTAATTATTAGTATTATTGTTATAAAATGAGGTTAAATACATATTGAATGTAGTAAAATAATATAATTGTCAAAATTTTGTAACTTGAGTAACACACACTGCAACCTAGACCAAATTAGTCATGAATACATGTGTTCTGAATAATGTTATTGTCATTATTGTGTTATTGAATATTATTAATCAGTTCTTGTTTTGTTTTAAATAGTTCTGCAAGGCCAGTTTTTTTTTATTTGTTGGTTTACGGATTTTAAACATAACAAAGTCGGGTCGGGTCGTTCGGTCGGAAAAAAAAAGAAAAAAAATATCTTTCAAGACAGAAAAATATTTAAAAAAAAAATATATATATTTTACCTTACTAACAATATTTTTAGTATGCTATTTTGTCATCATTTCTTAAATTCTAATCCATTAAATATTACTCCTCAGCTGTTATAAACATAAAATGCATTCCATCATCATACAATTTCGGCAAAAAAGGGGGGTAATGTCAACGAACAAAGAAAAGAAAAAAACAGATCCGCGTTGCTTTTTATCACTAGCTTTCAGGAAACTTCGTAAATAACGATCTTCATAATCAAGCACGAGAACTAATAAATAAAAATTGCAAACACATCTTACGAAAATAAGCTTTACAATTCTTGTGGAAAACGTAATAGACTCGTTCACTGGAAAGACGAAGATATCGGATTCACGAGTTTTCGTGCATTAGCGTTTTTGATATTCAAAGGGACGATTTTTTTTTATTATCTATGAATTTAAACAAGAAAGTTCCAAATTGTTTGTGAATATCTATTACTTTTAATTGGCATCTTCCACGTTTGGACAGGTCCATTTCATCTATGAGATGATACATCTTAGGTAATTATGAAAAAAAGGAAACGAAAAGTTTGTAATGGGTTTTAAACACAGGTTTCATTTCGCAAAATTATTTGCGCAAACAACATTTTAAGGTCGGTTATGATTGATTTGTCTTTTTTTAGATACGTAAACATACGGATTATTTTTGAATTTTTATTTTCTCGCAACACAATTTGTTATCAATTCTGTTAGTGTTTCGGGTGCATTACATTTCATAAAAAAAATATTTTATTTATATTTCAATGATAAGGTATTAGTTAGGGTCGGGGGAATAAAAAAGCATGAAATGTCAATTTTATTTTTATTCTGCAAAATAGGGTCGGCGGATCCGTAAACCAACAAATTAAAAAAATAAACTCTTCGCTGAGCGCAGCTGGATACGCCCGCAGAGGTCCAACCCTGAACAGTTGGGGCAAAAATAGACACAATATTCAAGCTTGATACAGGTCTAAATTTGGATTGTAATTAAATATTTGACATATTATAGGTTTCTGAATAAATGTAGTCAAAGAACTTTAAATTGGTTATATGAATTGAATTTATATTCAATTAAAGATTTCTTGCTGTTCTGCAATACACTGTGCTGTTGCGCAACACTTAGTAAATCTGATGTCAGACTATAAACAAATAAAGTTCAATTTCTTCTCAATGTCATATTTGAAATTAGTGAAAATCAATAGGGAGATTACATCAATAGCTATAAATAATTCACCAAAGTGTCATGAGAAATCCCCCTTTTTATGAATAAATTCCTGTAACTCGGAAACTTTAAATCTAAATTTTATAAAAATCCAAAAGGGAGCTCATGTCAATAGATATAAACAATTTACCAAAATTTCTTGCAAGTTGGTGAAAGCATTCTTGAGTTATTGTCGGAAAACTGAAAAATCCCCCTTTTTTTTAATGAGTAAAACCCCATAACTCGAAAACGGTAAATCTGAAATTTATAAAAAACGAAAAGGAGCTTACGTCAATAGATATAAACAATTCACCAAAGTTTCATGCATATTGGTTAAAGCTTTTTTGAGTTAATGTCCGACATGTTGACGACGGACAACGGTATACCATAATACGTCCCGTAAACGGGCGTATAAAAACCCTGGCCTAAGCAGCTGTTGAAGGATCTCAATGACGTACCTATCCTCATTCATCAATAACCAGATGAATTGGTTTTTATCATTCATATTATTAGAATTTTTATATTTGGATTTTATTTTAGTTAAGAAATGGTAACGCTTCCCATCATGAGATGGACATTTTAATAGGAAGTGTAATTCATCCTCTACAGCATTGTTGCATAAACTTTCGACAGAAGTTGGTGACTTTATAAAGCTATATTATATTATATTGTTTCCATTTGGAATATTATTATGAAGGAACTTTTTAAAAGATTAGTTCATCAAAAAGGGCGGTTCAAACCTCTGGAACCCCTCCCCCTCTCCAACCACTGGATCCGCCTCTAATCCATTGGGCACATGTTAGAGCGTAGGAACACAAATGTGATGAACACATGTGTCAATATATTGCTTATATAATGCCTATAGCTAAACACATTATTGTGTACACATGGTGTATGTCTGAAGTGTACACATGGTGTATCATCATGGCTGAAGTATACATGGAAGTTTTTAAAATCCAACTGCTACTTATGGCCATTAAAGAACCACTTTTATAAGATTTGTAAAACACGTAAAAGGTTATCACAAGTACGTGTTATCTTGTGTCTCTGAAAGTATTTCTACTTAAGTAATCAACTACACATCAAACTATACATGCTATACATTAGTTTATTGTCAGTGCGTGTCTGCAAAGCCGAATTCTGATCCTAGTCTTCATGCATCACATTTATATTGTTTAATAATTATCATAAATGTCACAGTTTTTTTTTTATGTGTGTCTGTAAATTTGTATTCTGTCAAACATTTATAACATGTATAATAATAATCACATTTAAAAGGTTTATCACCAGTATGTAATCTCATGTGTGTTTGTAAGTTACCTCTTTGACTAAATCTTTTACCACATACATCACATTTATGAGGTTTATCACCAGTATGTATTCTCATGTGTTTCTGTAGGTCACAATTCTGAATGAAACCTTTACCACATATATCACGGTTGACAGGTCTTTCACCAGTGTGTGTTGTTATGTGTCTCTTCAAGCACGAACTGGTAGTAAACCCTCTCCAACATACATCACATTTATACGGTTTATCACCAGTATGTGTTCTCATGTGAGTTGTTAAGTGCTGATTCTTACTAAACCTTTTCTGACATAAATCACATTTATACTGTTTAACGTCGTGACCAGTATGGATTCTCGTGTGTCTCATTAAGTCGCAACTTTGTCTGTACCCATTACCACATATATCACATTTGAAAGGTCTTTCACCAGTGTGGGTCGTTGTGTGGTTCTTCAAGTACAACCTGGTAGAAAACTCTTTACCACATACATCACATGTATACGGTTTATCACCTGTATGTATTCCTATGTGTTTCTGTAAGTCACAGTCCCGAATAAACCCATTACCACATATTTCACAGTTGAAAGGTCTTTCACCAGTGTGTGTTGTTGTGTGGATCTTCAAGCAGCATTTGTTAGTGAACCCTTTATCACACACCCCACATTTATAAGATTTATCACCTGTATGTGTTCTCATGTGTCTCTGTATACTACTAAGCTGGCTACAACTTTTTCCACATACATCACATACATAAGGTTTTTCACCAGTATGTGTTCTCATATAATTTTGCTTGTAATTGCTACAAGCAAATCTTCTACCACATACATCACATACATAAGGTTTTTCTCCAGTATGTGTTCTCATATGGGTCTGTAGATACCTATACTGACTAAACCCTCTATCACATACATCACATGTAAAAACATTAGGTTTATCTTCAGAGTGACTTTTCAAGTGTGTCTTTAAGTCATCATCCTAACGAAAACCTATACCGCATTTATCACATATATAACACCTAGCGTGTGTCTTTAAATGCATCTGTAACACACTATATGCACGAAACTCTTTTTTACACTTTTTACATTTGAAAGCTTGGTTTCCAGTATGAGTTATTATATGTTCCTCTAGATCTGCCTTGCAACTCCACTCATTACCGCACACTTTACATATATAACTAATTCCTATGTCATGACATCTAACTAAGCGATCCTCCATTAATGGACCGGAAGTCAGATCAAGAGAGACAATAACAGAAGTAGTTGATGTTCCGTTGCACGCATGACCGGAAGTACGATCAGCGGAGACAATCACAGAGGTAGCTGATGTTCCGTTGCACGATATTTCATTTGTTTCTGTACAGACGTCTTCCATTTTCATTTCTGTCAGCTGCTTGGAGTCCAACCAAAAGAAAATAATTAATGATGAGAACAAGTTCAAAAACTGCAAAATCAGCTATTCAAAGATGAATTATTACAATTTCCATTTTATGTCCAATTGAAAATGTATCTTTTTGGCTATGATATCTTTTTTTCTATAAATTTTTCATCGCTTACCTGGAAACCGAAAAATACTCCAAAAACACGAAGAGATCATGTGAAGTCCCATTGCAGAAATCTAAGGAAACAATGGTTCCATAAACTACAGATCAGAGTCTTTGATTGTCTTGCAAAAGGCTTAATGCAACTCTACATGAAAGACTTACTAAAATTGTGGATGACCAATTAGGTCAAAGACTTGCTAAAATTAGTAATTTTATAGGATTGTAAACGCGTTGACCGTGCGCTTCATACAAAATGTACTTCGGTCAACGCTTTTACACCCAATTAAATTTACTTTAAAAAGCATTGATTTCAATTCTTAATTGATATTGCCCATACTGCATTACGCTCGGTCTGTTCGTTATTTATTTTGCCCATTATTCTATATACTATTGTTTACTATTTGTGCCTATATTTCTCTACTATCATTTCTATTCATTGTTTGTCCGTTATCATGTTTATTCTGCACATTTTGCTCATTTTTCTCAATTCCTTTAACCCAATCTAGACTCTCATTCGAATAATTTTGTGGGTCCCTATCAAGTGTGAAACGGAATAAAAACGGAACGGAACGAAAAGAAAAAAATAAATAAACGAAACAAAACAAAAAACAAAACAAAACAAAACAAAATTTGTCAAATCGAAATATGACGAAACGAAATGAAAAATAAAGACACAAAACGAAAGGATTTTTTTACAATATAAAACAAGAGGCTCGGTTGCTTGATCTACAACAGGGAACTAAAGGGGAAATGTGTTTCGGTGAATAGGGAAATTTATTTCGTTAGGCCTGATTGTGATGCACGTTGGTTATATATAATAAATCTAGTACGGATACAGGATTCTGAAAAGGGCCCCAGGCAAACCAACGTTTAGAGTGATACTTTAAAAAAGTCAATCAATGTATTGACCACATATGTTCACAGCTCCATAAATGATAAGGGAGCCCGGACCCCTTGTCCCTCGCCCCAAATCCACCTCTATCAAAATGTACCACTATCTAAATAAATGTACCATGCATAAATTACTTTTCGTCTTTCTGATTACTGCTCGAATTGTTGTCATCGATAGTATATATATATATATATATATGTATATTTGACTTATAGATAAATCTACGACACGATATAGAGTATATTAGCAAATAAAAGGGTAGGGGCACTGACCACTCGCTTTTTGTATTAAGGGATCATTGTTCAGTATTTCACTGTTATTTGAACTGTTGTTGCTAATCGTACGTTATATACATGTAACTCTTATCAAAACTGTGAATAAATGAACTATTAAACACAACATGATACAATGAGAAACGAAAGGCCTTATTTATACTAAACTGAACTGAACTATAAATCTGAGACTACTATTGTTATAGTAGTCTCAGTATAAATGAAAAAAAATTAATATGATAGAAGGAAATTAAACGTTGGGACGAAAGTGTAAGACACAAATGAACACAATAATGAAATGGGTGTAAACCATCGTCTCGAACTTTCTTTGGACATTTGCCAACAAATTTGAAATTTGCTGTAATTTATTTACCAATTATAAAAATAATCCACAATGCTCTAAATGAATTGTCTGAAACACTAAGCTTAGAACTGTAAAAAAATAATTGTTATTTTATATATAAATATCTATAATGCAGCTTTTATTAGGTTTATAAGTTGTGTTTATTTAACAATAGATGCAAACTTTCAGGATTCTTAACTTCTCCCACTCATGTGATGATCGATTTGTTTAAGAAAAGTAAACCAATGAAAATCTTTAAGTGAATACATGTATATATAAATATAAATAAGACTTTTAAAAAGACAACAATTATCCTCTCGTGTTTTTTGGAAATCATTCTTACTGAATAATTTTTGCTATATATTTATTCAATTTCAAACAAAATAATGTTGTTTATTTTATTAAAAAGTACAAATCACATGCAGGCACTTAATAATTGACGTAATTGTTTCTGCCTAGCTGTGGTACAGATGTACTCTTCCAACTACGGATTCAGAGAGGGTGCGTAAAGGCCTCGCTTTGATAGGAAAATATATCATTTTTGCAAGAAATTGTCCACATTTTTTATAACATATAAATTTACTTTGAGTGAAATCCGCCACTGCAAAGAATTAACTGTCACCTGATTAATTTCTCAGACGTTCCATAGGTATTAATTTGTGGTTATCGGCCTTTGATACCATTAGTTGCAAAAGTTGTCAGTAAGGTCTAAATCACTCACCTGCTGATACGGCACCTGCTGATTTTGCACCATCATCTATAGACCCTTTCTTTACTTATAACATCACCTGCTGATATGACCCCTTCCTATAGACACAATAGAAAGTGTCTCTATTGACCCCTTCCTTACTCATAACATCACCTGCCGATATGACCCCTTCCTAAAGGCACCATAGAAAGTGTCTCTATAGACCCTTTCTTTACTTATAACATCACCTGCTGATATGACCCTTTCCTATAGGCACAATAGAAAGTGTCTCAATTGACCCTCTCTTTACTTATAACATCACCTGCTGATATGACCCCTTCCTATAGGCACAATAGAAAGTGTCTCTATTGACCCTGTCTTTACTTATAACACCACCTGCTGATATGACCCCTTCCTATAGGCACAAAAGAAAGTGTCTCTATTGACCCTTTCTTTACTTATAACATCACCTGCTGATATGACCACTTCATATAGGCATCATAGAAAATGTCTCTATTGACTAATTCTTTACTTAAAACATCACCTGCTGATATGACCCCTTCTTATAGGGCAGTAGAAAGTGTCTCTATTGACCATTTCTTTACTTAAAACATCACCTGCTGATATGACCCCTTCTTATTGGCACAATAGAAAGTGTCTCTATTGACCATTTCTTTACTTAAAACATCACCTGCTGATATGACTCCTTCCTAAAGGCACCATAGAAAGTGTCTCTATAGACCCTTTCGTTACTTATAAAATCACCTGCTGATATGACCCCTTTCTCAAGGCACCATAGAAAGTGTCTCTATTGACCCTTTCTTTACTTATAACATCACCTGCTGATATGACCCCTTCCTATAGGCACAATAGAAAGTGTCTCCATTGATCCTTTCTTTACTTATAACATCCCCTGCTGATATGACCCCTTCCTATAGGCATCATAGAAATTGTCTCTATTGACTATTTCTTTAATTAAAACATAACCTGCCGATATGACCCCTTCCTATAGGCACAATAGAAAGTGTCTCTATTGGCCCTTTCTTTACTTATCACATCACCTGCTGATATGATCCCTTCCTATAGGCACAATAGAAAGTGTCTCCATTGACCCTTTCTTTACTTTTAACATCACCTGCTGATATGACCACTTCCTATAGGCACTATAGAAATTATCTCTATTGACCCTTTCTTTACTTAAAACATCACCTGCTGATACGACCCCTTCCTATAGACACAATAGAAAGTGTCTCTAGTGACCCTTTCATTACTTATAACATCACCTGCCGATATGACCCCTTCCTAAAGGCACCATAGAATCGTGCAATCTGTGGCCACCACCTGTAAAAACGGCTGGTTTGGTTCCAACATAATGCACTTATTGTGAATGACTTTTTTTATCCTCCCATTCCTTGTCCAACAATACGGGTAACTGCATGTGTATCTGTCCGTGCGTCCGTCCGTAACAACATTTTTCTCAGTAACTATTCATCACAGCAAAATACTACTCAGTTTCCTACTTCCTGTTTCCCCAACTCTTTTTATTTTCGTACATATGGAAGTTTTGATGGCATTTTCTCAGAAACTATTTCCGGCAGAAATCTAATATTAAGTAGCAAGCTTCATGAATTTTTACCTGTCAGTTCCCTTCCTACTTCTTATCTTCCAACTGAAAAAGTAAAATAACAAAAATTCCGAACTCAATGGGAAATTCAGAACGGAAAGTCCTTTATAAAATGGTAAAATTAAATGCTCAAACACATCTAACGAATGGAAAACAACTGATGCCACTTTGTTATGTATGGGTTGTACTTATTGTTGAAGGCCCTATACGATGACATATAGTTAATAATTTCTGTGTCATTTGGTCTCTTCTGGAGAGTTGTCTCATTGTCAATCATACCACATCTCCTTAATTTTATATCTACTTTCCTCAATACAAATACTAATATATGGAACAAATCTCCGTGATTTTAAAAGCTCTCACGAACAAAAAACGCACATAACAATTTTAGTCTTCATTCGACTCGTATATGTCGAAGTTAAACAAATAACTGACCAAAAAACCACAACAAAACTACAAATTTTAATACGGTTGTGATTGTTTTGAAACGCTATATATGCGGAGCTTCCGGGTGACTTCGTCCCCGGCCCCCTACCAGGACTTTCAACGGCCCTGGACCAACTGGGGGCCTTATATCCCTCGCTCTTCAGTTTGTGATTCCACTTCATTAACAAGGTAGCTACGCCCCCGATTAAATTGTTTTTAATATTATAAGTAATACCCAATGAAAACTAAAGCAACATTATAAATAATAATGGCATAATCGTTTTATAATAGTGCAATATTATCATCTTATTAAGCATTAATTCTCATAAAATAACACAAGTTTACAATTATAATAATATCAACAGTTTAATTAAATTTGTTTAATATTATAAAGTAACACCAAAAGAAAACTAAAGCAACACTATAATTAATAACGACATATTTGTTATATAATATTCCTATATTTTCACCTTTTAAGGCATTATTTATCGTAAAATAACACAAATTTACATCGAAAATACTAATAACGCTTGACCGATATACGCTTCCGTAGGTATCTCTATCAAAATATATGTGATTAAAATAAGTAATAAAATTGTATGTATTTATACAAATTATAAAATACATTTACACCATGATTACATTGATAGTATAAGGATACCCTACATTTATCATGATAATCATGATCATCATAAACGTAGTCAAATTTCAGAATGACTACCTCCCCCTTTTTACCCCTGGTAAATTACTGAAAAATATCGTTTTGCATTAATCATAAAATCATTGTGAAATTATATCAATTGTATGCTTAACTTCTATTAGAGGTGTCCAAACAATAATATTTTAAGAAAAAAAAATAACCTAACAGTCATACAAGTTATTTTCCTGCTACATGTATAAGTTTAAATAATTTTATTTCACTATATTTTTTTTTAACTTTGCAAGATTAATAAATTATTGTTTTCCAAATTAATATATGTATTCAAGGATTTGTATAGTACGACTTTACAAATCGTTGATATATTCTTATTGTTAACTATAAAAAAGGGCAAAATGTTCAACAGTGTATTCAAAATTATACAAACCATTTAAATTATAATTTCCTGCGATTTTACATAATTAATTTCTAGCTGTTATTTATCTTAACTTAATTAATAAAGTAACATGACATTAATTTTCAATTTAAAATCGGTTAATGTACAAAGGGAAGCAACTTTAATTGTTCTACATAGGGGCAAAATTGGCAGGTTAATGGTGCAAAATCAGCAGGTGCCGTATCAGCAGGTGAGTGATTTAGACCCATCTCAAAGTTGTGGACTCGTTCGAAAAATTGCTTATTTTGAGGGATAATTTATCTGTACATCTAGTAACTTGTAAGTCAATAATGTTATCTTAAAGGTATTATTTAAATCAATGTAATATAGACACCTAGGCTAAAATTATAGCAATAATACTAAATAAATATGCGTGTTACCTGGATTGTGTCGTGTCTATTTATATAAATGTATGAAACGCAAGGGCTGTACGACAAAAGTAAAATACATACAAATTGCCGAAAAAACAGATCAGCGATATCGGCATCACTAGTCTTATATCTACGATTTAATATGTGTGTAAATATTTTTCTCTAATTCTTCGTCAATTTATCCCTTTCTGCACCCATTATATAAAAAAAATTTAATCAACGTGTGGTTCGAGTGATCTCAGTTCTTCATTGGTTAAAATCCGATTATGACGTCGAATTTTCTTGCTTTCCTCTGAATTTCCTATTGTGACGGCATGAAAAAAGGCGACCATGCCTGATGACGTCACATAGAAAGAACACATCTTTTTGCAGATCATTCGAAAAGACGGAATGAGTTTGCATGCATATTGTTTGAAAATCATTAGAGAAACAGATTCCACCACCAAATCTCGTGTAATACGATATTTATCCACTCTCGACAGTTAAATTTTAAATATTTAAAACGCTCGGCGAGCCTCGCGTTTTAAATTTGAAAATTTAACTGTCTCGAGTGGATAAATATCGTATCACACTCGATGCAGTGGTAGAATCTATATGTAAACACGTTTATTCTGTTTATTTGTTTAATTGTCTTCAATTAAAATAATATTTTTTTATGTTTTCAGATATCTACATGATCCCAATGGCGGATCCAGAAATTTACATAAGTGGGGGCCCACTGACTGCCTAAATATTAGAGCGTAGCTAGGCCTACTGGGTCCCGTTAAACCAACGGTATTTGTTGTTTTATATATATATTTGTATTTAAAGGGTTCTTTTTGAATCCGGTTAATTTGAGGTACGAATGAAGAACTTTTAAAAAATGTTCATAAAATTCTTTATATTGCATTCCAATGTTTTGTAATCATGCGTTCCATAGGTATATCTTTATTATCTCCCTTCGAAGTTTGTTTTGATAAGCACGAAAGTCAAATGAACTTATATAATTGCGTTTACCTTTACTAGTCTAACAAAAGGTAAGTTTTATATTTGTTGCATTTTGATATATCAATTTGAATATTCGCTGAACCGCGAATAATATTAATATTCAGAGTTCGCGAAAAGTGGTGGTCCTCAGGATTTTACCATCAAAATTTTGCATAGGACTGACACAATTTTAGTATTTTTCAATAGAATTAATGGTGAGGACCAGCAGATTTTCTTCCAGGACCACCAGGGAAAGAAAGATTTCAAGAACTCTGAAGATTGTGTATTATAAACCAAATTCACAGTCATTTTAATGTCTTTGTTAAATTGGAAAATGTATGGAAAGCATATTTAATATTGATAACATCACTATAAACTCTATGTACAATGACTATTTAAAATAAACAAAATTAAAGTGCATAAAATATTCGCACGTGGAATTTAAAGGTGTCTCTCAAATGTTTTACCTGTATAATTAAACGGGTGTATTGTATTAATTAAAGGTATATATTTTTTTTTCGACGCTATCAATCAAATTATTTTTTTTTCTAAATTAAACACTTTGGTATGGGACTAATCTGGATATATTTTTTTTTCACTTGCAAGGCCACAGTATTGTCAACTGGATTTTCAAAAGACAATTGTTTATTGAATTGGGTATGTAAGGCAGGCAGGTGGGTCCATTGATCAATATGAAATCTCTTTGACATTGTTTTTTTTTCAAATTTAGATGTTTTCTTTGAATAAATGAAGATCAAGTTCAATTTTCCCGATTTTGCTTTTCTTGTTGAGTTGTTGAACTTTCCAAAGAATTCAACTTTTTATGAAATACTTATTAATTATTTCTTCATCATTACTGTTCAAAGGGAAATAACTCAAATTCATAAACAAGTATAACTCTTGTCTATTGAAGGGATTCTCTTGTATTCTTATTCTAACAATGGACTTAGATTTTGAATATTGGACCATTATACATGTAATAATTATCTGTCCAATCGCAATTTTTTTAGTTCTTTACCACATTTATTTTGTGTCACAGACCGATGCTGTTTCAAATATTCAACCACACTCCAAATTCAGAGCTGTTTAATTAAGCTTGCGTATTTTGTCCATACTTGCAGCTCAAGTGTTCATAGTTCCACCTCTGCAGGAAAACCTGGTATGCTGTGACTCTCACAGTCTTTTTGTTTTTTTCTTTCTGAAATTAGGTTTCAGGATATATTTTTTTAGGATTAAAACATAACCCCCTTCTTCCTTAGATAATAAGAGTTCACATTGTTGATAAAAAAAGTAAAATCACCAAAAAAACTGAACTCTCAGTCTGCATGGTCTGCATATTCTAACCAGACTAGACACTAATCACATGCCAAAATCAAATGATAAAACACATCAAACGAATTGACAACATGTTCTATTCCTGACTTGGTACCGGATTTTCAAATGTTGAAAATATTGGATTGAATCTAGTTTTATAGCGCTAAACCTCTCTCTTGTACGACAGTCGCATCAAATTCCATTATATTGACATCGATGCTTGAAAGGTGTCACAAATAGGGGTACAACAACACGAACCCACCCAAAAACTGGGGATGATTTCCGGTGCTCCTGAGGATTTATAAAGCATTCTTTGATTAATATGTAGCTCGTTTTATTCATTGAGCAATAATTAAATTTTATCATTTTTAGATCATCTGGCCGAATTACATTTTTTAAAAGAGTGGACAAGAAGGCGCATAGCATAATTAAAAGGTTTAATCATCATGATCATGGAAATATAGCAGGCACCACTACAATCTCTATTATTCTAACCACACTAGACAATACAGATATTTTAACAGTGGTCTCCCCTGAAAAACCTAAGAGACAGTTAAGAAATGTTACACGATGGCCATGGTGGACAGGAGAGGACAGGAACAGATACATTTTCAGAAACGGAAAATAAAGAGATTTTAACAGTTATCTCCCCTGAACAACCTACAAACAATTTAGGGATGTTACACGGTGGACAGGACAAGACAGAAACACATATGGTTTCTGATACCGAAATCTCCCCTGAACAACCAACAGACAATTTAGAGATGTTCAACGGCGGACAGGACAAGACTGAAACAAATATGGTTTCTGAAACCGAAATCTCCCCTGAACAACCAACCGACAATTTAGAGATGTTCCTCGTTGAACAGGACAAGACAGAAACAAATATGATTTCTGATACTGAAATCTCCACTGAACAACCTTCAGACATCTTAAAGACGTTCTACGGTGGACAGGACAAGACAGGAACAAATATGGTTTCTGATACCGAAATCTCCTCTGAACAACCTACAGACGAGTTAGCTACGTTACACTGCGGACAGGACAAGACTGAAACAAATATGGTTTCTGATACCGAAAAGAAAGATAAACTGACATTCATTCGTCTTGATCAGACCAGTACAGAGTCAGACCAACTGATGGATAAGGCATATCAGACTTGTACAGACCAACTTATGGATAAGGCATATCAGACTTGTACAGACCAACTGATGGATAAGGCATATCAGACTAGGGGGAAGTTTGATACTGGTACTGAATGTGGAAAAGAGTACCAGTGTAATGTTTGTGGTAAAGAATGTAAGGGTAATGTTTGTGGTAATGAATGCCAGGGTAATGTTTGTGGTAATGAATGCCAGGGTAATGTTTGTGGTAATGAATGCCAGGATAATGTTTGTGGTAAAGAGTGCAAAACTAGTGCATGTGGTAAACAGATCAAAGGAAAGGCATGTAACTTATGTAATAAAGGATTTCGTCAGACTGGGGTCTTAAAGACTCGTATTATAAAACATGAAGGCTATAAACCTTACAAATGTGGAGTCTGTGAAGTAGATTTTAGTAGGAAGCAACACCTAGAAATGCACATGAGAACACATACTGGTGCTAAACCATACAAATGTGATTTATGTGATAATACTTTTAGACAGGGTCATCACTTACGGAATCATATGAGAACACATACTGGTGATAAACCATTCACATGTGATATATGTGATAAGACATTTAGTGAGCGTTCTCACATGCAGAAACACAGGAAAACGCATACAGGTGAAAACCCGAGTAAAATATGTAAATGTGATGTATGTGAAAGGGAATTTAGTCTGCGTTCTGACTTAAAGAGACACATTAGAACACATACGGGTGATAAACCTCATAAATGTGAGGTATGTGGTAAAGCTTTCTGTAGGAAGGAACACTTTCAATCACACATGAGAACACATACTGGTGATAAACCTAATCAATGCGAGGAATGTGGTAAAGCTTTCACTAGGAAGGAAGGCTTACGAGTACACATGAGAACTCATACTGGCGAGAAACCGTTTGCATGTGATATTTGTGGTAGAGGTTTTACTTGTAACAACGATCTGCAAAGACATAAACGCAGACATTTAAGACGTGATGAACATGGTGAAGGACCGTATAAATGTGATATGTGTGATAAAGATTTTATTCGGACATCAAATTTAAAAGTGCATAAAAGAACACATAATGGTGAAAAACCATTTTTGTGTGAGATATGTGGTCTAACATTTAGCCTTTCAATTTCTTATGCTTCACACGTTACAAAACATAATGCTGAGAAGGCCAAATTACTCGAAACTCGAGAAACTCGAAACAAATAAACTTTTTGTATTGACTTACGTTATTAATAAACGTTTGAAAAATATTGTTATTTAATTTAGAATTCTTGTTCTTCTAATTTGCGTCCTAAAACGAACTGTTATGTATATGCATTATGGCCTTTGTTCCAGATTGTCATTTTTGGGTAGATCTTTTAATTTGAGGCGGTCTTTGTTTGTACGGAGTACCAAGTCACCCCCGTGTCTTCTGCTCATCCAGAAACGAATACATGCAGATTGATACGGGTAGTACGGTTTCTTATCTGGAACAAATATACTTATTTTCATCTTAATGTTCGGTTGCATTTCTTTCAGTGATATTCTCTAGCTAAAATTCAGACGGAATTTTGTTGTACTAAAACCATCTTTCCCATTCTACACGTCATGGTAAGCTTGAAGCACAGAGCAATCATGGCAAGCTTTGAATTTTTTGTCTGTGTAAAAGTATAATGTATATAGATATAGGAAGATGTGGTATGAGTGCCAATGAGACAACTCTCCATCCAAATAACAATTTATAAAAGTAAAACCAGTAAAGGTCAAGGTACGGCCTTTAACACGGAGCCTTGGCTCACACCGAACAACAAGCTATAAAGGGCCCCAAAAATTACTAGTGTTAAACCGTATCCATCTTTGACAAAACATCAGGACATGCACAGCAAAATAAAAATCTACACTGAATATAGAATTTGCGGTATCTATCGACAAAATAAAGAAGAGGTCGTCAAGGAGAGACGCACAGTTCGTTCCCATAGGAATGCCGACATGTTTTTTTCAGAAAAACTCTACCTCCAAATTAAACAAATATATGTTGTCAATAAGGGATTCCAGCATACTGATCACTTGTTTCTCTGTGTAGCATTTTTCTTTTTCTTTTTTGTTCATCATAAACAAAATATGCCGTATTGTATCCAAAAGTGATACATTTAACGTATGGGGTTTTTAACGACCTTGACTCGCTACAACCCCCTTACAAATTGTATGATGATGGAAGTTTTTAACGACCTTGACTGTTTATACACGCTGAGCCTTCGCACGGTCGGCTAATAAGTTTTGATATACTTCCAAATAACTGAGCCAGCCAATGAGAAGCGAAGTGGATGAGTTTACATATTAGGTGTTAAAGAGGTGTGTAAAAGCAGAAATGTAGAATAAATAAACAACAGACATGTCAATGTTGTTTAAAAGATGAACACAAATATATATCTTTGAAGCGAGACAACTTGTATCACTCCAAAACGGAATATGATATATACTTGGGCATCACTGCAAGGAAAATTGCCACATTTGTTGAAACTGCCAGAGTTTCAGTTAAAGCCCTGGTCAGAACGAACCCACGACACATCTATGCAGCGCCACGACATGAAATTTGGTCAAATCGCGGGTCATCTGTGATCGTCTTACGACAGTTGCACGACAGTCGCACGATATTTCAGCATCATGGCGCTGTTGTTTGTCGTGGGACGAAAATTGAACATGCACCTTTTTTGCTCTACGATTTTTTGTTGTGTCACTGTCTTGTTGCTGTCGTGAGATTGTCTTACCACAGTCGTGCGATAAACACATTGTCGTGGGTAACAAAATAAACCATTTAAATAAAAACAATCGTACGATTGTCATACGACAATCTCACGACTGTCGCAAGACACTCGTGATACAGTCGCACGATTGTCTCACCATTACCAAATTTCGTACGATGCTCGCACTGGCAACATTGACTGTATGTCGTACGACAGTGGTACGTTCGTCGTGCAACAAATTTTCGTTTTATTTAGAAAAATACAATTCGGCGAGAATGTCCGTAGATTCCCTCGTCAAAGTGACGACATTATCAGCAGGGTCGTCTCCAGTTTCCGAATCGTTTAAGCTTGTGGTAAGGGGTCCTTCGTCTTGTCAACATCACCCACGTTTACTGATACCACCGTCCTTTTGTTAAATTTCCTCTTCGGGGGCATCCTGGTTTAAATTCGCTGAACAATTATAATATAAACTAATACGAAAAACGTCGTTTACTTGGACCGAACTTATAATGACACTGAACTATATTGAAAGCAAATGGCAAATGACACACAATTAATCGGGTCTTCTATATATATACTAGTAGTCCCGGAGTCAAACGTGCGAGTGACCCACGACTATTGTGCGACAGTTGTAATACAGTCGTACGACAGTTGCAAGACAGTGACACGACAGTGACACGCGCATCCCATGACATGAAAACCTGAAAAATAGCCATAAACAACTCATGATTGTAGTACGACTGTCGCACGACCGACTTGCGACAAACCCACGACAGTACAATAACATTTTTTTATCTGTCGTGTACCTATGATATCGTGGAACAATCGTGGACATGTCGTAGCTGATGTGACCACTCGAAATATTTTTTTTGACATTTTGCACGACAGTGCCACGACAACTATTTTATAGATCTTCCACGACAAAAAATCGTACGATCTGTTGTGACCGGGGCTTTAGGTTACGATGTCGGCACATGTCCAAAGCATTATAATTGATTTTTTCTTATACGTACCTGCTAACTGAAAAGTAAACCGAAAGCCTCGCAAGAAACAAAATGGCGTCACAACAGTACATGAAAGAATATTACCAATGATGCATAATATTCTGGAACTGTTACAGCATGTACAGTGAATTGCATACAACATATGACATATTCCATGGAAAAGTGCATGTAATGTTCCGTCAAAATATATATACGACAAAATTTACCTATGACAATACATTGTCCTAAAACATTGATTCGTAGTTAATTGTATGATAACTTTATCAGAAAAATCATTACTGACAGCTATTTGTTCTACACAGAAGGAGCAATTTAATTTCAAACCCAAAATTTTGAAAAATATTGACTGACGCAACTCCCGTAATAAAGGGAGCCTTTTTTTAAATGACAAAAAAAATCATTTATATTTCGAAAGGTATGTGTTTCATATGCAAATCGGAAAGTAAAAACAATACTATTAGTATTATAATCATTTCCAAGCAAGTTTGGCATATCATACTGCAAACAAATATAACAGAATGGTCGTTAAAAATACCGGCAATATTTACAAAATCAAAACCTTTATTGACATACTTTTTATTTTAATATTTGTGTTTTACGATCCTCAGGGCGATCAATTTTGGGAAACAGTTTAGAATAACAATATGCCATTATAATTTGAACGATTTCATACTTAGGACTGCAATATGAAATTGTGTTGCAATCCTCTAAAATTTTATTTAATTTATTTATAGGTAAAGAACAGAGCTTGGTTAACAGAAAATGTCTGCCGTTGTTTTTTGAAATAGAAATTAGGTCCGAAATATATGTATGGTTGGTCCGAAATTTTCTTTGATTACGATTTTTTCTGCGCCCATGAGAACGGTTTTTACGAACAGTTTTAGAAACAATATCCAAAATGTTAACAGAATCGGTTCTTGATATATTACCAAGCGATAACAACCCGACCATAGAGCAGACAACAGCCGAATGCCACCAATGGGTCTTCAATGTAGCGAGAAACTCCCGCACCCGGAGGCGTCCTTCAGCTGGCCCCTAAACAAATATGCATACTAGTTCAGTGATAATGGACGTCATACTAAACTCCGAATTATACACAAGAAACTAAAATTAAAAATCAAACCAGACTATTAAAGGCCAGAGGCTCCTGACTTAGGACAGGCGCAAAATTGCGGCGGGGTTAAACATGTTTTTTGAGATCTCAACCCTCACCCTATACCTCTAGCCAATGTAGAAAAACAAACGCACAACAATACGCACAGTAAAACTCAGTTTAAGAGAAGTCCGAGTCCGATGTCAGAATATGAAACAAAAGAAAATAAACAAAATGACAATAATACATAAATAACAACAGACTACTAGCAGTTACTGACATCAGGGCCGTAACTACATTGAGGCAAATGAGGCAAATGCCTCATGTTTGAAATTAAAAAAAAAGTAAGTTAAAACAAAAACCTGTCTTCATATAAAATTGTTTTCATGGCGAGTGTCTTGCAAGAAGCAATTTCTGTTCACCCTCTGACGTCGCCCCTGTTTTTTTCGGGATCCATGCACGCTTCTCGTTTATTTTTAGTTTTCAGTACTGATAGCCTATTGTTTGTCGTTATGTGTTGTTATCTGTTCACAGAGTTGTCTTTTGTTCATTGATTGCCCTTCTTTATGACTTTTCTCCTAGTGTTGAATTTCATTTGTAAATAAATATTTTTTTTTAAAACTTAAGTTTTATTATATTTAAGGACCTTTTGTCTAATTTTAAAAACTACTCTAAATTGTGAATATATTTGAAATCCAAGTAGCTCTCGCCCTATCGATCTCAATCGATCGATCTTAAGACTATGGCTTCAGTTGTCTAATATTCCTTGTTGTGAACGTTAATTCTCTGCTTTGCGTAGACTTGGGAAGGATCTACGATGACTAGTAAACGGTCATGTGTGGTTTTGGCAATGCTACATGCCCACCGATGTCCAGATATTTAATAATAATGTTCGAGAAAATGTGTTGAGAAGATATGATGCTACCGGACATAGAAAAATTTGTCGTTTTTTTCATGGAAAATTAAACTTTATATTAAAGAATACAAAACTGGCTCTCTTTTTTGTAAATAAAACTAAAAAGCTGACATGGGTTAAGTTAAAGTGAGACAACCCAATCTCCCGGAATCAAATCATTTAAAAAGAAAATAATGTATTGCCATATGACCTTTTACAGTGGAGAGCTAAACTTGCATTAAGTGTTCAGGCCCTAAAATAAAAAATAAAGGGATATGAAGTAAATTTGCATGGGACAAAGTCCCACACAATACATACAAAAAATGCAAATTATCAATGAACAGGGCTTTTATTCCTGTTCTCTATCTTGACAATCGCTGGAGGGTATTTAACAATGAACGAATCATTCATACCATACAACAAGGTCAAGACAGCCCCTAGTGTCGACTTAAGCGGCACTTAGAGTATTGTACTGTGAATAAATTTTAAAGTCACAAAAATATTACATCAAAGTCTAAACACAAAACAAGACCAG